CCTACTCCTCACCTCCACCCAGTCCTCATCTGCTTTCTGGTCCAAAGATGTTCCTTGTCTAAGAGTCTGTCAGCAAAATCATTTTCAGAAAACATGCTTGAAGGTACCATTTTCAAGACTGTTTCACTGCCCACCTTAAAAATGGCAAAAATGCAATTTAATAAGCACTAGCCACATCTCTTTTTCATGGGTAATCTAATGAGCCGTGTGCTTTCTCTACCCCGGGGAGAGAGACAATGAGCCCTTGTCGAAAACAGAATTCCTGTGCCCATATAATCTAATCCAAGTGGTTTTTAGCTTTTGAGTCTTTATTCCTTGACTTGTCATCCCCTCTGTGTTATGCCAACAAATTCCTCTTCCATTTTGTTTTATCATTATACAGGGTCCCCCCTCACACACACAAAAAAATGTATACACACTTTAATAGTTGAGAGCTCAATTTTGAAAATGAAATGTATTTTAATAAACAGGGCCTTTATAATTATTCCAAGTGTGTGTATACATTTTTGGGGACACACACCCCATAGGTGATGCTAGAGCCCTTGGTCACAATATTCACAGCCACCTTAAGTAATAATTTTTTAGATAAAACATCTACTTCAATACACATTTTAAATTACTGTATCATGAGCATCATTTGTAAATAGTCATTATTTAGGTACAAGTGATACTGCCCTAAAACAAGTGATCAAATATATAAGAAGGTCTCAAAGAGACAGATATATCTAGCTGTTATCCATTTTATTTATTTATCTTTTAACTATATCAGTGTATTTGGATGACGCAATATAGTTACCACCATATTGAGCAAGAAGTATAATGATTACTCAGGCTTATATAACACTTTGGAATTTATGTTACTTCTATATGTAAACTTGGAAGGAGACTCTGTTCTCTTCAAGGGAGAAAGAATAGATGATGTAAGCCCTGGGTCTCAATGAACCAGCACTCAAGGGCAGTCTCATTTTCGTTTTGCAGGAGGACGGTAATCCAACTGATGGCTTTGCCCTTTGGAGGCTGTGTGGCCTCTTTGTTGCAAGCCAGCCTCTTTAAACATCGGTTTTTCTCATCTGTAAAATGGCCCTAATTATTCATGCTTTCCTCGCAGAGCTATAACCAGGATCAGTTATATGATTTATGTCAGAGCTTATACATAGTACACAGAAAACATATGACATGCAGATTTCAAATAAATGTTAGCTATTGTTATTATTACTGTTATTTTTTTTCCTCTATTACATAAGGGCTGCCATGATCAACTGTGTTCCCGCACCTGCAATCCCTCTACATTCTCACTTTTCTGCATGGATACGTTCTATCAATTCATTCCATAAACAACCGTGTCCTTAGAATGTATTAGAAAGTGAGTTTCAGGGAAGCTGAGACCTTGTCTATCTGGAAGAAGAAATATACCGTAGATCAAGCATGTCAAACTCATGACTCGTGGGCCACATGCCTTGTTTATTTGGCCCATGTTAGCCTTTGAGTTTGACATGCTTGCCGTAGATGAATAAATTGTGCTCTCTGGTGCCAAACTGACTGGCTTTTAATTCTGCCTCTACCACTTATTAGATCAATGACTTTGGGCAGATTCTTAACCTCTTGGAGACATGCTTTTCTTATCTATATAATGAAGGTAGTTATAATAGCTACCTCATAGGTTGTTGTGAGGTTTGACTGTTTCAATATATGTAAAATAATTTAGAATAGTGCCTGATGTGTAATACAGGCTATAGAAGTGTCTACTGTGATTGTCACTCTTATTGTTTATTGCTATAACTCTAATACATAAAACAGTGACTGACACAAATGGGTATTCAATAAACATTTGATCAATGAATGAGCAAGTGCTAGACATTAAATGCACAAAAGAATTTAAGAGAATGTTTTTCACCCAGGAAAAATCTACAGGAACATATGGTGAGGCTTACAGCTTACCAGAGAGTTCACAGTCAGAATTCGTACTCATCAGTCAGGTTCATTTCCCTCTGGTTCCAGGGTCCCTAACTTGGGCTACACCACCAAGGATGAATGGTCTATGGAACTTATATAACAACATGAGGCCAAAAGAAAAAGGCAATGCTGAAAGGTGTTTGTAACTAACTTGCTATTTAGATAGTACAGAGAATATGCAAGGATCCAAGCTTGGCACATTTATTTTAATTCTACATTATTTCAGCAGAAACTAAGTAAGAATCATCTATAATAATAAAAACGTAATATGCTAATTAGACCAAAGGTCCTTCTAGATGACTTTCTGGATGAAGCGGGACTGTGAGGGAAGCCCGGGTCCTGGGTGCCGGAGGGAAGCTGGTGCCGGCAGCCGGGGGAAGGAAAGCCTACTCTAACATGAATTTCGTGCATTGGGCCTCTACTATGATAATAAAAGAATAGCCAAATAAGAATAACCTAGATACTTAAAATACTTCCTGAATATTTTAAAACCATTGAAGAGAAGTACTGCTGAGAACCACTGCAATGCCACTGCCATGGAGTGATAACTGCACTTGTAACCCAGGCTGTTCTGTCCAATAAACAAAGAGGGGTTGCTGTTCAAGCCACTGGCAATAGGGCACCCTGAACTCGCTCACCTGCGAAGCCCTAGGCCCCTGACATGAGCGCTCTTTCCTTAGAAGACAGACTCATGTTAAATGGGACATTTTTATGGCAACAATTTTTAAAGTAAGAAAAGCCAAGTTTGGTGAAGTTGAGGAAAATAGGGGCTTTCCAATAGTTGGTGTAAGAGTAAACTGGTCCATGTTTCCAGAGAGCACTTTGGGAATAGGTATGAGAAGCCTTGTCATATGTATTCATGCAGTTTGGTCCAGCAATTCTACTTGTATGATCTATCCTGAAGAAATCAGCAAAGTTGTGCACAAATATAGAAAAGGTTTACTGCAACATCACTTCTACCACAAAAAAATTAGAAGCAAACTAAAGGTGCTTCAGTAAGCGATTAGTGAAATCATTATGTTTTAGCCGTTCAAGACAGTGCTCTATAGAAAAACAAAACTCATGTTACTGAAGTACATTCAAAATATGGACAAGTGCTCACTATAGATTTAAAAAGCAGATTCCAAAACAATGTGTATAATGCAGTCAGAATTGTCTATAGAAATACAGTATATCGAAATAGGGAGATTACGGATATTTTTTTTCTTTTTTTTTTACTTCAATGAATATGTATTACTTTTGTAATCACAAAAATTATAGCATAATAAGAAAGACATTTGACCACTGCTTTCACTTTTCCACAAAGAGTGTCCTGCTTGCTGTTATAATGTATTGCTTCACCACAGAAAAAGGCAGAAGCAACCTTGTTTTTTAGCATCAATAGCTGTATCTTACCTGCTTGGGCTGATGCCATTAACCTATCTGTTCTGCCAAAGTATGAAATAGATACTGGACTGTAATCATTGCAATTTATTCTTGAAATGAGATCAAAATTCTATGTATCTTCTTGCCTGAGTATTTCCCTTCACCTGCAGAGTTTTGACTCTAATACTGAATTTTTTCACCTCTCAGGTAAACAACTACAGCTTAGAAGAAGTAACACATGAAGAGGCAGTAGCAATATTGAAGAACACGTCAGATGTAGTTTATCTAAAAGTTGGCAAGCCCACCACCATTTATATGACTGATCCTTATGGTCCACCTGATATTACTCACTGTAAGTACCACCCTCTGTGTCATCTTCGAATAGCATGCCAGGTTTGTGAAATTGGAATTCTGCAAAACTTGGCAAAGTCCTATGCTCTCACCTTCCCATTTGTTAAGCCTGTGGAAATACTTCAGAGGGATTCTGTGCTCCACTCCCTGGTTGCCTAGCGTTTTGAAGGTGAGACACCCTGATGATTTGGCAGGTCCGCCACTGTGGGAAGGCTTAATAATGTATGTTGTAGACAGTGTGGTTACAATAACATAGGAGCAGCACATTTTTAAGGGCTATTTCTTAAGTCCCTAATGCATAATGGCTCTCATGCCATTATATTTTTCTCTTCCTAGTTCAAATCTATATAATAGCAGAGTGGAAAAGACAGGCTGGCAAAATAGACCCAGGAAAATACTATGTTTCTTCTTGGTGGTGGGGGGGGGTCAGATTATATTTGGTGAAATTATGGATTGTAATCACCGTCATCATAGATAGTTCTTACCTTTATCTGATTTTTTTTATATTAGTATTGAGGACCCACTTGCAAAGTTAGGAACCCAGAATGTCTTCAGGACCTGCCATTAATTAGTACTATGGTCTTAAGCAAATCAGTTAACCTCTCTTAGATTTAGATCTTTCTCTTGAGAGAAATTTACAGGTTGAATAATTTTGTTACCTGCTCATTACATTAGCTATTGCTTTTCTTAATGGTGATCCTAAAATGACTTGCCCCCAGATATGTCTTTTTTTCCAAGCAGGTAGTAATCTGAGATCAGCCTTACCTTAGGATATGAAAGAGATTGAACTTCAGAGTGTTTCAAACTGGATGAACTTAGAAAAATCAGCCTTGATACTCTGTGATCCACTTCATGAGGGTTTATAAGGACAATGCAAAGAGAGAGAAAAGAGAGAAAACAAAACTTGCTATTCAAATAAGAAATATGTATTGAGTAACTTTAATATGTACAAAACACCTTGTGAGGTAATAGGTGATTTACAAAGGAGATACCACCATGGCTTTCATTGGAAAGAACACTAACTCAGATATATAAATAGCAGCAACATATGGCAAAATAAAAGGATGCATAGGCCAGGAAAGAGGTAAAAAACATATATTCTTTGGGCATTTAAAGGAAGGAATATTACCTTTTCTTAGAAGATTAAAAAAATATGCAGAAGGTGGCATTTGAAAATTATCCTGGAGAATGGATGAGATTTCAATATCAGAGATGGGTTAAGAGGCAGAAATTGTTGCAGTGAATAGAGTGGAACAAAGGTACAGATGTTGTGAAGGACAGACAGGCTCTGTTTGAAGGCCATAGGACATGTGGAAGGGAGATTGGAAATGGACCAATCTTGTAAGAACAGTGAAAGGGAGAGGAAATATTCAATACTCTCCTGGCAATTAAGAGCATGTAAGCTAGAGAACAGCATGATCAGAGCTGGAATTCTCAATGTGTAAAATGGAAAGAGGAGGACAGGAGACCCAGTAAGGAGTGGTTTTCAGTCTCCCCAAAAGGAGATGAATTAGGGTGGGTGAATAGAAAAGACGGCCAGAGTTCTTAGTCTTCCTGCGCTGTGAGTACAGCAGTTTTTTGATTAAAATATCTACAAGAACTTGTTCTGAGGAACCTTCTGCTTTTGATGATTGGATAGTAATTATGTGAAAAAAATGTGAACTCTGTCCTTAGAAAGCTAACATTTTTATTTCAGCAGAAAAATTAATCATCATTCTGAAAACATGTGTGCTCAATCTCTCCTCCAATTCTTCGCTTGACCTAATTATGCTAACAGGGCTTATAGTATAACTGCTATTATATCATTCCAATCCTAAAGGTCACTTTGTGCTCATACATATTAAATGCCAACAAACAGCACCCGCCCCCTCCTGGAGGACAAGAAAATCCTTGGCATGTAGCGAAGCCTTTCTGTTTTTAACAAAACCATGGCATGAGCCATCAAATCACCCACATAACAGGGTTTTTTCTTTCCTTTTTTCACTTCATAGCTTATTCTCCACCGATGGAAAACCATCTACTTTCTGGCAACAATGGCACTTTAGAATATAAAACCTCCCTGCCGCCCATCTCTCCGGGAAGGTACTCACCAATTCCAAAGCACATGCTTGTTGAGGACGATTACACCAGGTCAGATATGCTTGTTGGTTGATTGGGTTTGTGGTCATTACCAGGAAGAAACTGCATTTGCCTAATGTGTCAGCTGTTGCTTTGGGGCTAATGGAAACTTCTTAACGCCATTCAAACTTAATGATAGTCTTGCTTCTGGTGGAAATCTGCAAATACGTGTCACCATGTGTCATTGTTAGGAAGCAAAATCGCAAATTCTTTGTGGAGAAATAGTAATATATACTTACCCATCACTTTGCAATTTTTAAGACTTTTAATATAAGATCCTACTGGAGCTTTATAGCCATACTGTAAGAAAGGTATTATTACTTCAGGAGGGAGGATGGTGCTGAGAGTTCAACATACCAATATTGCATGTCTGATGAACGGAAGAGTCAGAACTGAAACTCCTATCTTTTGACTCTAAACTCCGCCTCTTGCCACCTATGACCACCCACAAGTCAATGGAATTGGGAAGTCAATTAATCCTCCTTCTAATGTGATAACTACAGGTGGAAAGGAAAGGAGTGAAATTAACTACAAGTGGTTTAACTCTAATATATCCTTTTAATCCCCATGGGGAACAGTATGGGATTTTAGAACAGAGCACAGAATCACGTTGCTAACCCCACGAAGTAAAATCATGGTTAGCCAGCTTGCATCTGAAGAAATCAAGTCTGACAGTTCACAGAGAAGCCCAATCTTTTATCATTACTACTAGGGATTCAATAAATATGGGTTAATTAATAAATGAATGGGTAAAGATTTTTTTAAAGTGTACATTTTTTCTTCTATATCTTTAATATTTTTGGTCCAAAGTAAAGTAATCTATGCTCATTGCATTTAGTGGAACAATACAAAGATATTCAAGAAGCAAAACGCTCTCCACAAATTTTCTCAGGCCAACCAGTCTTGAGGTTCCCACTGTGACATCCTGGTATGAACCATTCACACCTTCTCCATGTTTATATCCATCTGTAAAATGCAGACTCAGATATGGAAGGGGCTCAACACTGTTTTTACAAAAAAAGTTCATATTTAACACATTGTTCTGCAACGTGCTTTTCTCGGTGAACAATACTTTTTCCCAAAATGAGATTACATATAGATATGTACACGTTTTTCTGAAAGTGTTTGTGTAAAAACACTAGAGATGAACTCTTAATTTTATATTCTGACTGTTTAATGAAGGCATTTGTCAGTCTTTCAAAATGGTCTCACTGGTACCCGGGCATGCTTTGCTATTTCTTTTCAAATGATTAAGCACTTTCCATTTATCTTGCAATTTCAGGTTTGCTGAAGTAGCTTCTTAGACCTATAGCCACGGGATGGAATGTTGAGATGCTGCAAAAGTGCATCTGTGGTGTAAATCAAATATAACTTATCCCCATGCTGAAATATCTGCTCTCCATGTTCTTAATTGAAATGAGGGCTGCAGCAAAGTAATCCTCATGGCTCTCCAAAGAATTCTGTAAATTTGGGCATCTTTATTCACTAGAGTAATGATCTGTTTGCTCTCATCCTATCTCTAATATTTAATATGATTTTAATTCAAAAATATTTTATCGTACTAAGCCCCTTAGTGAATTAACGTTATGAAACCCCCTTTATAATCCACACTCTTTGCTAGCTATTTTAGATATATTATCCATTTAATCCTCCCCAAAACACAGAAAGAAGGGCTTTCATCCCCATTTTAGAGATGTAGAAACTAAAGCTCAAAGGTGTCAAGGAATTTGCTTATGGTCACACAGCTTTTAAGTGGAAAACAACTGAATACCCTGCAAGCTTTATCATCCTGGCTAGAGAGCAACATTTTAATTTTCTCATTTAAAACTCTGCTCATTGTAGAAATATATGGCTAGAAAGGGATCCAAGAGTTTTGGTAAACTCTAAAAACAAATGTGTCAGGATTGAACCTACTTCTACCACTGGCTAACTGTGTGATGCTGGGCAAATCATTCAACCACCTCAAGCCTGTTTCTTCATGAGTATAACGGGAATAGTAATCACATCACCTCAACAGGTTGTTATAATGATTAAGTGACACAGTGCATGCAAACAATTTATAACACTGCCTGACACAGTGAATATTAAATGAATGTTATCTATTTACTATAGCTATACTTATTATAATTTTTAGGACCTAAAATGTCACATGTAATATTTTAAATTATTCTCCAGGAAGAGAATCCATTTCTTTTTATAGTAATACTAGAGGCCTGGTGCACGAAATTTGTGCACTCAGGGTGGGGGGGGTGTTCCTCAGCCCAGCCTGTGTGCTCTCACAGTCTGGGAGCCCTCAGGAGATGTCCCACTGACAAATTTGGCCTGCTTCCAGTGGGAAGCGGGCCTAAGCCATCAGTCGGACATGGTTAATGCTGCCACGGAGGTGGGAGTGGCTCTGGCCACCACCTCTGAAATCGCCAATTGTGAGCCCAGCTTCTGGCTAAGCAGGGCTCCCACTGTGGGAATGCACTGACTGCCACGGGGCAGCTCCTGCATTGAGTGGGATCAGGCCAAAACCAGCTCTCCAACATCTCCCGAGGGGTCCTGGATTGCAAGAGGGTGCAGGCCAGGCTGAGGGACCCCACCAATGCACAGTCAGGGCTGGGGAGGGACACAGGAGGGCTCCAGGGCATGTCTGGCCCATCTCACTTAGTCCTGATTGGCCAGACCCAAGCAGCAAGCTAACCTACCAGTCGAGCGTCCGCCCCCTGGTGGTCAGTGCATGTCATACCAAGTAGTTGAGTGACCTTAGCATATCATTAGCATATTACACTTTGATTGGTTGGACGAATGACCAGACAACCAAACACTTAACATGTTAGGCTTTTATTATATAGGATACCCTAGTATCTTACTTCTTGCCCTGCCTCCTCACTTGTTCACTGGCAAGACAACCTCATTTATAACTCTGCAAAATCTTCTGAATGGCTGGTGCCTAGCAAACCTGGGAAGTAAGTTATATCAGCACACGTACAACTCCAGTGCTCTCTCACTACTACCCAGTCCTCTCACAGGTGCTCTGCACTGCCGGCATTGTCACGGATCTCAGAAATATTTGCTCAGAGGAAAATTCACTGCCTCATTCATAAACATTTATTGAGTACTTCCTACTAGGCAGAGAGCACTGAACTAGGAATGTAAATGTGAATAAGTGAAAAATATCTCTAAGAACTATCAAATTGGAACAAAAATATATTTAAACCAGTGAATCCCCCAAGGCCTGTTCCCTGATAATGCAGGACTCTTCTATGAAGTTTCTAAAAAGCTTACCTATTAATTTTTTTTAATCCAGAGATTTTATATTTTGATATCAAATGCCATTTCTTCTGTGATAGCTTATTATATCCTCACTTAGAAAATTAAAAGTTGGTATTTCTACATTAGTCCTCACTTTTTAAACATAAAAGGTCTGTAAAATCCCAATGTGTGGGAACTCCTTAGAGCAGTGGTTCTCACCCTTCCTAATGCAGTGACCCTTTAATACAGTTCCTCATGTTGGGGTGACCCCAATTTCATTGTTGCAAATTGAACATAATTAAAGCAGGGTGATTAATCACTAAAACAATATGTAATTATATATGTGTTTTCCGATGGTCTTAGGCAACCCCTGTGAAAGGGTCGTTCAACCCCCAAAGGGGTTGCGACCCACAGGTTGAGAACCGCTGCCTTAGAGAAACAAACAAAATTAAATCAGTTCTATGAAGTGTTCTTATGTGGCTCTAGCAGAGTTCCCTAGCACCACAGGAGGCACTTCATAAATATGTATTAGGGAATTTGAGTTTTGCATGAATGCCACAAGAACAGCCTATGGCATCAGAGAAAGTGTTAAAGATGAGATAACTCTGGAGTTTGAGCTTGAAAAAATGTGTAGGCATTCATCAGAGAGTCAAGATATCAGGAAGGACATTCGGGTAGGGGATAGCAATGCATACTCAAGGAAGAACGAGAAATAGAATCTAATGAAAACAACTATTACAGTTTGAAATGTAAGGCTCATAAAAAGAAATAGTACCTCTCTTTAAATTATCTTTATGTCCCTATCCTTTCTCTCAACCTAGTTGTAAGATTAAAAATACATCAAGTGGTAAAAACAAAAAGACTACACTATGCATTATTAACACTAAGTGCTGTAATGTATACTATTGCCCCTATATTATTTATATCACATTCTTATTCTTGATTTTTTACAGGAAACAAAATGAATTTAAGTCATTACTTTATATGACACAGCAAAGAAATAGCAAATACAGAATTTTAATTCAGGTCAGTCAGCCTGTCTTTAAAGGCTTCGTCTCCATATCCTGACCTCCTGTGTCATGCAATCTCTTTCCAATGAGAAATGTTGGATAAAGAGAATGAGTCTCATCTCAGGAGGCTTGGTTCTAACCTCAGTCCTACTACTTGCCTAGATGACCCTGAACAAGTCATTTAATTTCTAAGAGTCTTGATTTTCTCATCTATAGATTTAGATAAAGGATCTTGTAATTTCTTCATGGAATGATGAGGTTTTCATGTGATAATATGCATGAAAGTTGTCAACTTTGGAGGGCTATATAAAATTTTTATTTAATAGTAAAATTATCAAGATATTATAATAGCTTATATTTAATACCTGCTTTATACTTTCCTAAAATAGTAAATAAAGGGAATGAATCTTTAATGATGGGACTCAGGCTGATGGAGAAAGATTTCTGTGAAAAAGGAATCTTCAATAACCTCTAAAACCTTATCAAATTGGCAGCCTTTTATTTCATATGCTCATAATATCTTTCTCTGTTATAAGAAATATTTCTCTATTTTCTTCATTCTTCGCTTTTGTTGAAAAATGTCATAAGAATTTTTAAAGGATTTTTATTACAATGACTTAGCTGGAATTCTTCAATAAATCTCTTCCTTACTGTTTAAGGAAATGTATACCTGAGTAAACTAGGAAATTTTGTTTTTATATTGATTTATGAAAGAGAGCATAAATAAAAAGTCCTTGGGTAAAATTCTCTTAGTAGAAAGCCAGT